TCCTCCAAGAAGAACAAAGTCATCCGCCTGGTGGACATCACCGACATCCAGAAGGTGGTTCCCCGTTCCGGGGGGGGGGGGGGGGGGGGGGGTATCTATCCCTGCTGCTGTGTGACCTTTGACCCCTCTCTGTCCCTCAGTACAAAGTGCTGTCGGTGCTGCCTGGAAGCGGGATGGGCATCTCCATAGCAACGCCCTCCACTCAGAAGGTACACAGGCAAACCCGGTTACCCTGGTTACAGCTCTATAGGACACCAATAAGCAGGTTCAAACCAGTTTGGGGCCGTTTTGGGTCAGTTTTGGTTAGTTTGGGTTAGTTTTGAGTTAGTTTGGGTTAGTTTGGGTTGTTGGGACGGGTTGGCAAATGAAATACATGCTAAATAAACAGGGGAATCAACAAAAATTCATCGTCCCACCATGTTATCTTTTGACCTATTTTGGGTTGGTTTGGATCAGTTCTGGTCAGTTTTGGACCGGTTTATGTTAGTTTTGGGTTGGTTTGGGAAAGTTTGGGTCCATCTTGGACCAGTTTGGGTCCCTTTTGGGCTGGATTGGGTTAGTTTGGGTTGTGCTCAGCTTCGTGGGGTAGGACGGGTTGGCAAATTAAGTTTTTATATCAAATTCATCCTAAATAAACTGGGAATCAACAAAAAAACGTTTTTGTTTGAAACCCATCGTCCTCCATGTTATCTTTTGGCATATTTTGGACTGATTGGGGTCAGTTTGGGTAGGCTTTGGACCAGTTTAAGTCCGTTTTGGGTTGGTTTGGGTTAATTTGGGCCGTGTGCTCAGCTCTGTGGGGGAAGATGGACTGGCAAATGAAGTTTTTATATCAAATACATGCAAAATAAACAGGGAATCAACAAATCAATTAAAAAAAAAACACATTTTCTTTTGAAATTCATGGTCCTGCCTATTTTGGACTGGTTTGGGTTAGTTTGGGTTGTGTGCTCAGCTCCATGGGTTAGGACGGGTTGGTAAGTGAAGTTTTTATGTAAAAAACATGCTAAATAAACAGGAACTCAACTCAACCCCCCCTGTGTCTCCCCCAGCCTTTGGTGTTTGGTGCCATGATCCACAGAGACGAGGCGTTTGAGACCATCTTCACGCAGTACATGAAGATGGCCACCAGCTCCAAACCGCCGCCCAGCGCCGAGCTCTAGGCCGCCCGCCGCCAGGACTCCGGGGGGG